CTAAGAATGCATTCTAGAAGCTTCTCACTCCATCTATGGCATATCGCCAATTTTGTGCCAAAGCTGTTAACCCTTCCTTTCCTTGCCAATTTTTGGTTTGGCAACCTAACCTGCTTTCTGGGGAAGCTATCTTACCACAGTCAGGCGTTTTGCAACAATATTCTTTTATGCCATTTTTCTGATATTAAGTAGTTTAGATCAGTGGTTCTCAACCTTTTGACTAATGCATACCACCTAAACGAAAATTGAAAACCTTTAGTACCACCACTACATTTTATGATCAATATTTTTCAATTTCTAAATAAAAAATATTAAAAGAAAAAATTTTTTAAATTTTCAGATTTTATATTACGCACAAAGGGACCTTTTTTAAACGTTTTGTATGTTACCTTTATTTTATTAAATATCATGTTCTTTGCACTAAAACCATAAAATCAATTCAACAGCAATATCACAATATACACTGCTGGCTACACAAATTGCAACAACAAGAAAGACAAGAGGTATCACAACAAAATTTATTTAATAGATAACATGTTGACCAAGTATCAAATGATTAAATTTATAGACTTCTGTGACATGTGGTTCCTTCCAGAATCAGTAGCCAGAGTAGTTGCCATTGTTGGAGATCACCGCTGCCACACGACTCGGCATTGATTCAAAGAGACTTTGGATGTGTTCTTGGGGTACAGAGACCAAGCAGCTTCCACACGTTGCCAAAGTTGATCTCGTGTGGCAGCTTGGGATGTAATCTGGGTCAATCGTTCAGCAACCGTGGACTGCATGTTTTCTCTCGCCGAAAGATCCGAAGAACGAGCCGGCCAGGGAAGCAATTCAATCTGGCAATTAACGAAGAACCCTTGGACAATGTGTACCATGTGTGGTCACGCATTATCCTATTGAAATATGGCTGTGGGCCAGCCCTGAAGGTAAGGAAGGCAACTGGCTCCACACCTCAGAGATGTAGCACTGACTATTTAAAGTACCGGCAATGCATACTAGAGGAGTGCAAGAGTGATATCCAATACTGCCCCATACCATAATACCCGGTGCAGGACCAGTGTGGCGGTGCATAATGCAGCTGTTTAGTATCCTCTCTCCACGCTGTCTCCAGACTCGAATCCGACCATCGTGGTGTTGCAGACAGAAGCATGACTCGTCAGTAAAGACAATTTTATTCCATTCTGCCGTCCACATCCTTCTTTCATCACACCATTGGTGGCGGAGACATCTGTGGTTCTGCGTCAAGGATAGACGAAGCAATGGCCGTTTTGAGGACAGACCACACTGCTGTAAATGGCGTCGAATGGTACGTGTAGACACTGGAGATGATGCATTATAGACTGAATGTGCTGTTCTATGGTTCGTGATGTTACTGAACGATCCGTCATTGCCATGCGCACAATGTTCCTGTCATCACGTGAAGTGGTGTACTGAGGTGGATGCGATCGAACACGGTGGTCCGTCATACCCTCCTGCATCTAGTGGTCACATATCCGCATTACAGTTGTTTGGTTTTGTCCAACACGACTACTGATTTCCCTGAAAGAAAATCCACAGTCTTGGTAGGCCACTCTTCTTCCTTTGTCGAACTCGGATACTTGATCAAACGATGATCGCTGTTTACTATGAGGAAGAATTGATTTTTTTAATGAAAAAAACCACAAGAAAAACACAATTGCTGAACTTAAAATTGTCAAAAACTCCAAGCCTTAAATAGCATTTTGAAGTGACGCCACAGGCGTGCGTGATGTGTGTCTGCGCTGAAATTCTAATCATTTGCATATCTCACCTCCGATAATGCATGTTGTAAATTTCATGTTATTTGCATTGCTTCCTTCAGGGTGTTGCATTTACGGTGGCCAGTAGTGTATTTAAAAACAGCATACCTTTAGATTTTCCGATACACAGTCTCGTTCGCTGGAGATAAAAAAAATTTCTTTTCGTGTTGGTTATTTTATGGTTTTGCCGTTATTTGCTTTGAAATCTTTGAGTTTGTTAATCAAGAATTCCTTAAAGTTTTGACAAAATTTCAAATAGGTAATAAAACAAATTCAAAATTCGGGTTTCCAAGTGGCCATGTTCGGTTGGAAGACTACGTTATTCAAAATTTGATGGTTCTAGGTACCATTGTTTTTTCACAATGTGAGAAACAATCATGCAGATTCTTCATTGTTTAGTTTCTTTAAATATAACACATGATGGTTATATTAATGACAAAGTTTAAAAAGTGAATCAACGCAAAATGTCGTTTTGAAATTAATAGCCCTGCTGGACTAATGCCTTTTGGGCTAAAAAATATTTTGCCATTTGTACAACCTATTGGCTATTTGAATTAAATATACACACAAAAATATTAGATTAAAAATTGGTTACCATTTTAAGTATCAAAACTTAAGTTATAATAATTTAATTCTAAAAATTAGTGCAAAATTTGACTATGTTTAAGAGAAATCAATTTCTTTATGTCTGGTCTCATTTCACTTAGTTTTATTTGTAAATTAGAACTAGAATCCACATTTTATTTTGTTCTGTATTTATTTTTTAAATATAACATGCAAGAAAATTGTTCTTCACGCATGTAGATTGTGCAAAAAGGCAATAAAAGTTTAATAGTTTTATTTCAAATGCTTCTATTTTTTAAAAATTTTATTTATTTATTTATTTGGTTAAGCCAAACGTTAACAAGTGTGTTATTTTTGAAATCTTCAATTAGAGTTTGATCACAGAAATTTTCTATCAGTTGTGCTTTACAAGATAAAATTTCAGATATATTTTAACAAAATGGATTTCTAATCCAATTTTCTTTTTCACAGTCCTCAGGAAAATACATATTGAAATTATTTATCAATGAAAAAAATGATTTTTAATGCCAGTTGCTAATTCTTCTATATTCAAATTATTTTCAGTTAAGAAAACTTTCTAAAAGTGGCAAAAAGCTTAAAATATTATTATCGAGTTCCGAGTTTTTTTTTTTTTTTTTCATTGCTTTTATTTTATCTCTAATGGTAAACAACAATTGTTCTTATAATCCTAAATTTAATTCATTTAATTTTTAGAAAATATCAGCTAAATATGCCAACCATAATTCACTAAATAAAAATTTTTGCAATTCAAATTTTGAATTACAGAGGAAATTTGAATTTCTGATTGAAGTTCAAAAAGACGATTTAAAACTTTGCCTTTGGATAACCACTTTACTTTGAAATGTAACAAAAGCGTTTCGTATTCACTGCCCATCTCTTGGCATAAAATCGTAAATATTCTTGAATTTAAAGCTCGGCTTTTAATAGAATTAACAATTTTCACATCTTGATTTAAAACAATTTTCAGCATTTCAGGGATTGTTTTGGCTACTAAAGCTTCACAATGTATGGAGCAGTGAGTAAATTTAGTTTCAGGTGCGACTTTCTTTATTTGAGAAATCACTCCGAAATGTTTTCCTGTTAAAACCCAAGCTCCGTCACTTGCATACGGCAATGTTCTTATTCCAAGGATTCTCAGAGAGAAAATTGTTAATTACTTTGAAAATTTCACTTGCAAAGCTCTATCATGAAGAGATTCACAAAATAAATACTCTTCAGCAATTTGTTTATCTTCTTCGAAACGTATGTAAATTAATAATTGAACAAAGTTCGTTATATCAGTACTTTCATCCAATTGCAATGCAAAATACTCACTGTCTTTTATTTTTTGAATAAGTGTCTCTTTTTTATGAAATTTGCCATTGCATGAATTCGTCTTCTTACTGTATCATTTGATAACAGAAATATTATTTAGTTCATTACCTGCTTTTTCGTTGAATAATGTTAAAGCGATACCTTTAGCTGCTGGTAATATAAGGTTTTCTCCAGCAGTGTAAGCCTGCCCTGTCTTAGCAATTCTTAGGCTTACCAAATAACTAGCTTCCAAAGCTTTTTCCCTGGAAGTAACAAAACCTTTCATTACTTGTCTACTGTTTTTGAACTCTGATAATTTCCTCGTAAAATACTCTTGAGTTTTATCCTTTAAATTGGCATGCTTAGATTCAAGATGTGGTTTAAGAAATGATGGTTTCATACTTTGATTGGATAATAGTTCACCGCAAACAACACATTGAGGTTGAGAGTCCATTTCATCTCCATTCCAAGTAAATCCAAATGATAAATATCTTTCATTATAGTTTTCTATAAGCAATTTTTCTTTTCAATATTCTGAATGTTAGTAGATTGTCTTGGATCCATCATCTGTAAATCAACATTTTTCCGCTTAGTCAATCCTAGCCCTTTTTTTCCATTTTGAAAAATCTAAGTTTGTTTTATTATCTTTTCACAAATATTTAAACACGTAATATGTTACATGTTCTTCAAAACCAAACGACGATATTCTCAAATCGCCTAGAAAAGTAAGGAATACAAAGCAACAAGAAGACAAAATACCTGCTGTTAGACAGAGCAAAACCACGTAAAAATTATTCTAAATGAATATAAAGTAATATGAGCCTGGAAATAATGACCACATAAAGTGCAGATGTGCTAACAAAACAGTCAACTTTAAAAAAAATTAATGAGATACTGTTATTTTTATAGGAACTTATTTTTATTTCCTATTAAATACAACATCCATTTTTAGTACTCCTTTTAAAAACATTATGACAAATTTTGTTATGTCTATGGCTAATAAAATATTAGCAAAAATTAAAACTAATAAATCTATGAATGGCTATTGAACTTGAGCATAGCTCAGATCGCATAAATTGACGAGTGTTAGTGAAAAAAAAATTGAACAAGATTTGGGGGTACTTAATTTTTACATTTAAAAGTTAAAAATATATTGCTTCTTTGCATACCACTTATTTTTCTCTGGAGTTATTGAGGTTTTGAAATAAAGGGCATTTCTTTAATACTTAAGGTATATCTAGTTTCAGTGCTTCTGATATTTTTAAAAATTGCATGTATAATTTAAAGAAACAGCTGAACATTATTATTATTATTATTTTTTTTTTTTTTTTTCCCTTTCAGGACAAAAATCAAATCTCTACTTGGTTTCCTTTGATCAAGTGATAAGAATTTTGAAATTCGAAATTGTGTAGAGTTCTCAAAAATCCATTCACCTGCTAAGAAATAATTTGTATGTAAATTGTAGTAAAATTTCTTTTATTATATATATTTGTTTGAATGTATGACTAATGAATTCATAGAAATGTCAAAACTTGAAATTATATAATGTACCCCATCTAAGATGACCAACCATGATTCCAAATAATTTTATCATGTGGAAATGATCATTATAGGAATGATGGTCATTAAGGACACTTATTGTTTTGCACAATAGATTTACTCTGTTCAAGACTTTTGGAGTCTGTTAAGAAAAATATTGAAGTAAAGTTTATTTTATTTGTTATTTCAATAAAATTACACATTAATAATGAAGAAAAGTAGAAAATAATATAGCTAAAGCTATTTAAATCTTGTGAAGTAAAGTGTGTAAATAATGTTTTAAAATATGAATTTGAAATCAATATTAAAAAAATTACAAAAATCTTACAAATTTGTTTAATAATTTCTAAAATATTGAATTTTTATTAAAACATTAATCTAATGAAGTCTGCTTATTTTAGTTCCTGGTTTAGATAATCTATTTTCTAATCAGTATGGATTTCTTAAAATAATCATTTATCTATCATGTTTTGCCAACAACCTTTGGGACAAACTCCCAGTGGCATCTTTGGTAACTTGTAATTTGTTTCTAAATTTAATTCTTTTGTGCTTTGCTTTGTAGATATTTTATTCTGAGGTTAATTACTTAAGATATATTAAATAATAATAAAATCACACACTCAGATATTTGCATTAAAATGTTAAATTTGAAATAAATGCAATTTACTGCAATTATGTCCTAAACAGAAAAGTATCTGTTACCAGCTTCACAGACAAAAAAATGGAAAAAAAAAAAAAAAAAAGTTTAAACAGTTTAGGAATGTGATGAAATATTTAAAGAGCTCTGGGTCATATTCTTCAAATCAACCTATGTAATAAATTACATTATATTGAGAAACAACAGTATTGTTGATAAGAACTTGCTTAGTGACTGTGATACAGAATGTGATTTAATGAACATCCCGAAAAGTGCAGTACATGATAATTTCAAGGAGCTTGACCATATAAACCGTTATGATGTATGGGTACCCCATACTTAAAGGAGCAGAATAAACTTGCTCAAATTTCATCATTTTATTCTTTGCTGGAACAAAATAAAGAAGCTCCGTTTTTGAAAGCTAGTATGAGAAGTGGATACTATATAATAACGTTAAAAGAAAAAGATCCTGGAATAAGCCAAGTTAACTTCTTTTAGTAACACTTAAATGTAGATCCAAAAATGTAATTCTTTGTGTATAATGGGACTAAAAGGAATTATATATTTTAAATTGCCACCACCGAATCACACAATAAATTTAGAAAAATATAGTTCTGTTTTCTGTCATGACAATGCTTGGCCCACATTTCGATGAATGCTAAGTAAAAACTTATTGAAAGTTTCTGGGGTGTTTTATGTTATCCCCCCCCCCATATTCATCAAATGCTGTCCTCTCAAATTTTCATTTCTTTAGGTCTTTTCAAAATGTTCTGAACCGCCTGGAGTTTATTTCTTTGAAAATTGTCAAACAGCCCTCAGTAACTTTTCTGTGAATAAATATGTTTTTTTATAAAGAATTTTTCAGCTTTTGGAGTGATCACAAAAAGTCATAGAATAAAATGATGCTTGTGTGAATCAATAAGGTTTGCTTATATTTTTCTACTGCTTCATTTGTATTTGTCATAAAAAAACTGCAGAACTTTCCAGATAATCCACTACGTATACCATTAATGAAAGCATCAAGATTATAAAAAGTGGTTGTTAATCTGACTTTTAAACTATAACATACTTTAAATACTGACAATTAGAATTTTAATTCTGTGTACTTTCTAATTTATATAAATGTTAAGTAAAAATTAATTTTCTGTGTTTTAGGTGACTTTTATATAGATCTTATACAGATGTCCTTTATGTAATCTAAGCAAATTTTTATTTAATATATAATATACCTGCATTTAATAAAAATATTCATAAAAAACTTGAAATGACATCTTGTGTTGAAGATTTAAAATTTAATAAAAACATAAATTGATCCATAATAAAAATGTTGGATGCATTTTGGAGAAAATATTTTATTCTTCCTATGCAGTAAGCAGATATATGAAATAAAAGTTTTTTTTTTGGCATGAATAAATGCCATGAATTTGAAATATACCTGAAAGATTAATGAAAAATAACATGAATTGTTTTAATACTCTGAAAATTTACTGATGTAATTTTACAGAGCAAGTGTTTTATCTTTTCACCAAGGAGCTAGCAAATGCTCAAAACCAAACTTTTAATACCGCCATCTCTTGTGAAAATATAAAGAAAATCTAATTGTAAATGAAGAGTGAATATTCAAAATGTCATAAAAAGTTCTTTATCGTAGAATCATGTCTTGATAACTTTAAGGACCAGAATTATTTATTAAAATGAAAAGGATTTTTGGTTGTAGAAGACTTTAAAAAAATTCAGTTTGTTGGAATTTTCTTCCCTTTTTAAAATATTAGTAATTAAATTTTAGATGAATTGTGTATGAATTCCTATTGTCAAATCTTGATCCCCCCCCACACACACACACACCTCATGAAGCGTGCAACAGTTTCAAAAGATTTGGAGCCTTAACTCATCAGCCAAGACATAATACTATCTGATTACTCTTTGTTCTGTCTCTACGGCAATTTCAAACATATTAAGTTTCTTTTTTTTTTTTTTTTGGTAATGGTAGCAACAGCCTAGTTTACCAGTAGGAACAGTTCATGGGCAATGGCAGTCACTACATTAGTGACTAACTATTAGTCCTTACAATGTGATTTGACTTCAGAGTGTCCCTGTTAAAACAGCAAAGCTTTTGAAATGATTTAATACATTGATACAATCAAAAGTCTTTAATCCGGACTCGACGGGACTTCGGCGATTCCGGATAATAAATCATCAGTTTAAATCTGGTAAAATAACATGCAGAAATTATAAAATTAAAAATATGAAACCATAATTTATGAAATAAAGAGCAATTATGATCTAAAGGGTATAAAAATTTACAAAAAAAAAAGCTTAATATTTATTTGTTTACTTTATTAAGCATTTCTTTCAACACGCGCATGCATAAAGCATACATTACGCATAGTCGAAATTAGAAAATTGCAACCAGAAAACTATTTGATGTGTATTCATGATATTTATAATGACGAGGAATTTGATTTAAATCATATCAAAGATGGAGTACATCGAGATGAAATACTACATTTAGTAAGGAATTATAAGTTTAATAAAATAAAAACGTCTGCTCTGATGATAAGGATAGTGCTGACAGATCAACTTCCAGTTCATTGCGCGCCGCGGCGTCCCCCCCCCCCACACACACACAGAGCAGCGTGAAATTGATAAACAGATTTCGGAATGGTTAGAGAAACAAAGGATATGCCTTTATCCATTTTTTGCAGCAATTCCACTTTTTGTTTGATGGACATCAAAACATGCTTTCGCTTTGTTAGAGGCTTTGGCAGCTCCGGAATCGGAAATTCTTTTTGACATAATCGAAAGTTCAAGCTTACTTTTATAAAATTGCTCTAACAGTCTGCAAAAAATAATGAGCCGGATCCAATTAGAAGATTAAGGAATAATGCAATCTGCAACATTAACTGAAATAGATAATTAGATAATTTTAGCTTAGCTTATACTGCCCGTTATACATTAAATGCGCCTGCGTAAACATATTACGCGCATGCATGAACGCATTATGCGTTGACGCATGCGCAGAAAGTTTGTAGCTTTGAGGTCCGGATTATAGATCATTCCGGATTTAAGACTTTTGACTGTATAAGGATTTAAACACTTATAGGATCTAGAGGCCCAGCTGCAACATCTGTGGGCTAATGTGCTACAGAAAACTGTATGAAACTTATATGCTTGAACACATCTGAATTTGCATCCAGACTATAGGCAGCCCAGTAGGATACTAAAACTCCTTTTAAATTGTACAGATTTTTTCAAACATATCTTTTCACTCTAAAATTGTTAAAATTGTAATCACTTGCATATATTAACATTATGCTCACCTATACAAAACTTCATTTCTGGGAATGTCTCTACCAATGAGTATGATGAATAAAATGAATTTCAGTTATTTATGTAAATACAATTTAAACACATTCGCAATTTAATACCTAGATCCAAATAAAAATTTAAATGTTGAAAATTTTCTTATAATTCTTTTCAAAATACCTTAATTATAGTCTGGGGTAAAACACTGATATGCGTAGTGTTTGAAAATGATGGGCCACAGACTTTATTTCCATAGATACTGATCATGGACATGTACATCTAGTTATACCTGTTTTAAGTTGTATTCAAGTTTTTCAAAATGAGGTAGAGAATTCTGTGAAAACAATTTCAACATTTTAAGTTGGAGGGTTCTTATATATAAAATCTAAATTTCTTATAGCATTCCCACCAAGCAAAAATTCCGGTTTGTAAAATATTCATACTGTAATAAGTTTAATAAAAAATATTCTATGTCTTTTGTAGGACTTTCGCAAAGCAAAATATTCTGCAGTTATTTACTTCGGAATTTGAAATGACTTAATTTAAAATTTAAAAATTTCATAAGAAGCTATATTTTTGAGGCAGTAATTAAATCTTTGAATATGTTCAATATAGGTTGAGCCTTTCCTGTAATGATAACCAATGCTCATCACAATGGAGAACATTAAATATGTATATAAAGCAAAAAAGTTAATTTGTATTTAAAATTGTTGTCTAAAAAGTTAAATCTTGGGAGAACAAATTTAATAATTATTGTAATATGAAACTATTAAATAAAAATGTTACCTAATTAAATAGTTTTAAAATTATACAGAATATATGCATTCATAGAATTTGCCATTAGATTATTAATCAAGGTAAAGTGAGCTTATCTTGGGCTTGGCTTTCTAACTGAGTATACATTGGAATTACAAGTGACTAACAAATCCTACTCATTAATTAGTTAATAATACATCAGATAAATGAATACTTTTGATTTAATTAGGATACATTATAGTAACTAAGAACAAATAACTGCAAGACAAATCTGTATTGTTTAACAGTTCTAAGCATCTCCATTCCAAAGAGCTAGTAAGCATAGAAGTGGTATATTGTAAACCTCCTTCTATTGATTTAGGAGTTTTGTAGGGTTGGATATTGCAACATCCTCTTGCCCAGAAAAAGTTAAGCATACATTTCTTTCAAATCAATAGAGTTATAATGGTTCAGGTGTTTCACAATTCTTTTGGAGTGGCATTCATTTGGCATTCTCATCCTACACACATACAATCTTCCTTTCTCTTCCTGGATGCACTATAATAATCCTGAGTTAGAAATAATCTCCACTGTATGCCAGCACCACAGAGTTCTTGATTTCTTGCACTGATTTAGAGCATGTCAAATTATGAGCCATGATGTAATTTATTAGTTTATTCTTTGAAATTTATTTAGTATTTTCTGGTGATAAAGATGCCCAGGATACAAAAGATTCTGGTTCCTAAATCATTTTGCTTTTCCAGATCTTTGACCTATCATGTGTATAGATAAATAAAAAATTTGGAGTTTACTTCTAGTTTTAGGATTGTCTTTAACTTCTCTATACCAGTGCTGCTTCTCCACACATGATCTCCAGGCAAGTTTTTGTGAACTGTACTAGCTTTTTCCTTAACTCTTTCCATCAGCCACTCTTCCAACAATTAATGCACACTTTATTCCATGTCTTCTGAAATAATCTAAGGCTTCAGCCACAACTGTGGTTAACTGATGTAGTTTGAGGTCTTTATCAGTTTTCTTTAATGTTTAAGTAGTGTCTGAATAGTATACGTATTTGCAAATCCCAAATCTAGAAATGAATCTTCTAGTGCAAAGAGGAACTTAGAAGTTGTCACTGCATAGGTGAATAATGCAATATACACCTTCTCTCTATTTACTTTGAAAGGCATAGCTTTCCTAATCTGGCTTGGTGAGAGGAGAGTCATAGCGTTGTTTTCATTCATTGACATACCTGCAGCTTTCTTTGTCTCTCTTTGACAATCCATAGAGTACCTGTAACTTGTGTAAGCATTTCTGCTATTCCTCCATATCCTCCATTCTTTTTTAGATCTTCAGTTTGAAGTTTACTGTAGTTTCAGATTTAATATGTCCGACTACTTCTGTTGTTGATATTCACAAAACTTAAAATACAAGCTGTAACACAAATGATATTTCTTTAACTGCTGTATTTTTGTAAAACAAAAATAATGCTTCTTACTTTGGCAACTTCATTACCTCTTTACTCTATCAGCTTCTTTACTTGAAACCTTTATTTCATAATTTGGCTACTTTCAGTATTCATCAATTAATAACATAAATCCATGTTATAAGAAATTATTTTTTCTCCGTTTTCATTCCCTTGGTTAATATGTCGGATTTTCTTCTCCAAGACAGTAATTTTAAGTATCACATTTTTAATGTTTCCATTACTCGGTGTTAAATGAATAATTTCCACCTTTCTAAACCACTCTTCATTTAATGTAACACTGCACAAGAATTTCTAAACTATACACTGATCTTAAACTTCTTTGATTGCTTTCTTACATTCAAAGTTTGTTTCAATGAGTGTTGTCATCATTTCCAGTTTGATAATGGCATTTCCTCTTCCCCAAGGCTTTCTTATTTTAGATAAAACTATTTCACCATCCTTTATGATATATTTCAAATATATCACTGTTCTGTATACATTTTGGCTTGTGTCAGTAAAATGTGCATTTGAATATCTTTTAATTCAGCTTTACTATTCTTCAGTAAATAGTGATGCCAAATTTTCTCACTGTTCATTAGATTTTTAAAAGTTTGATGGCAGTAGGTCATCCCAGGATATGCTGATGTAGAGCTCTTTAAAGTCCAATGAGATCATAAATTTTTCTAATTAAAACACCCCTCTTTTTAATTTGCTTTGTTTTCTTTTTAGCTTGAGTTAGATCTTGCAGTTGT